TGCCTATCTGTATTTCTTTTTTTATACATATATATTTTTATTGATTTCAGAGAGGAAGGGAGAGGGAGAGAGAGATAGAAATATCAATAATGAGAGAATCAGTGATCAGCTGCCTCCTGCACACCCCCTACCGGGGACTGAGCCTGCAACTTGAGCATGTGCCTTTGATCAGAATCGAACTCAGGATCCTTCAGTCTGCAGGCCGACACTTTATCCACTGAGCCAAACCAGCGAGGGCTCTACCTGAATTTCTTATTCTTAAATGTAACTTGGTCTTTGTTTGGCCATCCAGAGATATTACTTTTTATCTTTGAAATCTAATAATCCTAGTCTTAGTTATTTTCATTCAAACCATTGTGTTTAATTTTTGTTGCTATGTGATATACAATTTCAAAATGTGGATTAAAGTATTATTCTACTTTTGTAATGTTTACTTGAAACACATTTAAAGTAGCTATTTTGTGGGAGTTTTTGTTTTGTTTCTTCTTCAGGTTCTCCAACTAAGTATACGTTGATTCTCCTTTGCTGGTCATCTGTATCTCACATTTTTTTTTCTCTAAACTTTTTTGTTATTATTGTTTCATTTTGTTAGATTTTTCTCATGTTTATCCTATTTCCCTTATGAAAAGCTGCTAAGAAAGAAAGGGAGCCCAGTTGGCGTAGCTCAGTGGTTGAGCGTCGACCTATGAACCAGGAGGTCATGGTTCAGTTCCTGGTGGGGCACAGGCCCAGGTTGCAGGCTTGATCCCCAGTAGTGGGTGCGCAGGAGGCAGCTGATTAATGATTCTCTCTCATCATTGATGTTTCTATCTCTCTCTCCCTTTCCCTTCCTCTCTGAAATCAGTAAAAAAATATGATTAAAAGGAAAAATTCAGCACCATGGTGCTGTTGGAACATTGATGTGTTCCTATTGAAATAACCAGAAACTGTACTTTTCACTTATGCTCCTGACCAGGTTGGAAACATTGCATTTGAAAGAAACTTAAAAAGAAAGACACCCTTAATTCTCACTATATTTTATCTTTTTAAAAGATTCATTTTCTTAAGAACTGTTTATTTTTTTTTTAAAGTTCTTATTAAATAAACTCTAGGGGCTCTTAAATTAGTTGAAGGTATCATTTATGCTAGTGTTCAATCATATTGTAGGCTATTCCTTGATAATAGTACAATTTGAAATCATACTAACAATCCTTTGTTTTTTCTGTTGCTATAATGCCTAGAGGGCAGAAAGCTTAGAAATCATCAAGAGCATTAAAGAGGGGCATGTGAACATGGAGTTTTTGGTGCTCGGGAGAGGGCAAGCTTCCGGAAGACAAGAGGAAACTAAACCGGGAGAGGGTGGAGCCAGTAACCTAGCTGGTACTCTCATCCAAGCTGCGTAACACACTCAAATGAGTTCTTTTTTGCCCGATATAGTTGTGCTTGAACTCTGGGTGAACTCCGTGACTGACATCTAGTTGATGTTCAATTATACATTTCAGAATAAGAGAAACCTCACATCTCCCCGCAGTGGTGAAATTTTACTGACTGGAGTGCTCAGTGGGAAGGGTTCTCTGAGAAAACCTTGTTTCTTCATTTTTTAATATGGAGTAACCATTCTATTCGTTTGGAGGCTTTTATGTCATTTAATCTGGGGTAGGGACAATTCCATTAACGTCTTTTATCCTATTTTATTCAGGTATGTCTTAATAGGCCCAACCACTAGTTATTGTGAGATCCAAGATAGAACAGTTGGCTGGAGTCATCGTTTTCCAGAATGTGTAAGTAAGTAAAGACTTTTTGCTCATTTGACTATACACTTCTACTGTGTTCGGTAATAGAACTCCTGTGCACCTTGGCTGCTTTTTTGTACCACCCGTGAGAATTTGCATCGTGAATGTGCGATGTGGAAAGATATCTCCCCTAATTCTTTCTTCTTCTTCACGTACTCATCCCAGTTGCCCAATGTGAGGCCCCTCCAGCCATCAGCCACGGGAAGCACAATGGTTGGCGTGAAGAGTCCTAAATGGAAAAATATCCTCAGGTGAGGATTAACAACAACAAAATAGTTGTCATCTCTCCCTCACTCTAGTCCCATTTCTCAAAGAGAGTACTAATACTACTTTTAACTACTTCTGTTTTTATATCTTTCAGTGCTTTTTTTAAAACTTAAATAAAATATTTATGAATCATCTATCTATATAATAAAAACCCAGTGGTCATAAAGACCAGTCACCAGAAGGCTGTGTGTGCGGCGAGGCGCCCGCAGGTGGGTGGGGCTGCATGCGCAGTGAGGTGTGTACGGGTGGGCGGGGACTTGACTCGGGGTCCCACAGCGTGCTGGGACTTGGGGGAGTCCCCCGGCACCTGTGGGACTTGGGGGTCCCAGGTCTCACGCAATTTACCGCGGGTCTGGGTCTCACGCGAGTTTGCGTGCTGGGTCACTAGTCTATATTATAAAAGGCCAGTGGCTGTAACGCTGTAACGCTGTAACAACCAAACGATCGGTCACCAGGAGGTGCATTGATGGGTCTCACAGCGTGGCAGGTCTCAGTCTCGCCGGCACGGTGGATCTAGGGCTGTGGTTCTCAACCTTCTGGCCCTTTAAATACAGTTCCTCATGTTGTGACCCAACCATAAAATTATTTTCGTTGCTACTTCATAACTGTAATGTTGCTACTGTTATGAATCGTAATGTAAATATCTGATATGTAGGATGGTCTTAGGCGACCCCTGTGAAAGGGTCGTTCGACCCACAAAGGGGTCGCGACCCACAGGTTGAGAACCGCTGCTTTAGTCCAAAACTAGTACTGTGTAGTAGACTCTACCTAAGGGAAGTTGAGAATGTCATCTTTTATCTGTTCAGGAATCCGAGCTGGAAATTTTGGTTAGCGCTTGGAATGTCAACCACATAGGCCTACAGGGCAAGCTAAACCCACTAACCACCAGCAGCAGGTCAACAGGGCAAAGCGAGCAGTAATTGAGCTGAAAGCTACATTGTGGTATGACTCGTCTGCTAATCTTCCTCAGCTACTCAGGGCCCACACACTATCACAGTGATGGCGAACCTATGACACGCGTGTCAGAGGTGACACGCGAACTCATTTTTTTGGTTGATTTTTCTTTGTTAAATGGCATTTAAATATATAAAATAAATATCAAAAATATAAGTCTTTGTTTTACTATGGTTGCAAATATCAAAAAATTTCTATATGTGACACGGCACCAGAGTTAAGTTAGGGTTTTTCAAAATGCTGACACGCCGGGCTCAAAAGGTTCGCCATCACTGCACTATCATTTACTATTCTGACTCCCCACAGGACACAATCAAACCAGGGTATATGAGGGCACGATACTGCAAACATACCTGGGGTCTAGACTGCAGGGTGATCATGATCACCCCTGATACTGACAGATACTGAGGCTGGAAAGTTAGCAGGGCCAGGCTATGAAGGGCCCCGTGTGGTTCTTTCAGAAGTTCAGGACGAAGGTAATGGAGAGACGTTGAAATGTGTTGCATTTCAGAAAGGTAACTGGCTACAGAATGGCCGACAATTTGAAGTAGGACACAATTTAACCCATAGGCACCATCTAGCCAAGAAGTGAAAATGCTTCAACTGTAGCCATGGCAGTGGGCCTGGAAAGAAGTTAAGGGATTGTAGAGAAAATAAGGTGGCAGGACTTGCCTGACTGCTGGGGGGCCGATGAGGGTAGTTTGTTCTTTGCTTGTGAGGGTGCAGATGTCTGATACCTTCCTTGGCTGCCTCATCGTCGTGCACGTCATATAATCACCGTTGGCCACTGACCCACCCCCAAAATCATCCAGGAAGGTAGGTCATTATAAGGGGAAGATTTGGGGACTTTGAGAATGTGTTCCTCTGGGTCAGATATGACTAGTTTTTCTTGAGATAAATGAGGAAGTGAAGTTATCCAGAAACCTCATTTTCCTGAGGTTTTTAAAAGTTGAAAAAAGATATACATTTATGTGCTTTTAAAAATGTTTTCCTTGTAGCTGCTTGATATGCACTGTATCAGGCTTTTTCCAATACTTGGAATTGGATTAGCAATAGCAGTAATATTCTTATTGCCATTTCTCTTTTATAATCCACTATCTTTTCTTATGCTACATTTTTTTTTTTTTAAGAAATCACCTGTCCTCAGCCATATGTTAACCATGGAAGGATCGTCTTAGGATTTAGACACTCCTATACTTACAAAGACTCTATTACTATTGAGTGCAATAAAGGTTTTACCATCAAAGGCAGCAATGTAGTTCGTTGTGGAGCTGATGACAACTGGAGTCCTCCTCTTCCCATCTGTGAGATCTGTGAGTATGAACCACAAAAGAACTTTAATGTTTGGCATCTAAAGTTACCCAGAAATGTTGGTGAGGGCATATTCCTTTGCCCAAGCCCACTTGAGTCACAGTAAGAATTTAAAATTTAGATCAATAATTTTCTTTATTTTTTCCTCATGCGAAAAAAGATGTATGACAATACACTGTGCAAGATCTCTTAACATCACAAAAAACTGCCACATGCAGTTATGCAGGGTGCACACTCCCTAAGGGGAGACATTAACACTGCAGACACTGTGCTATGGATTAGGCTTCTGGCTGAATGGCGCTCCCCCTATGGGATCGCACTGACCACCAGGGGGCAGCTCTTGTGTTGAATGTCTGCCCCATGGTGGTCAGTACACATCATAGCAACTGGTCGTTCCACCATTCAGTCTATTTGCATATTAGCCTTTTATTATATAGGATTCCATTTTCAACAAAAGTTATCAGAAATGCAAAGAGATAGGAAAGATGATGAAGAAAAATGCCTTTGAGGGGGCCCAAATGTTGGGCTTAGCAGAAAAGAAGTTCAAAGCAGTTATTATAAATACGTTCAAAGATTCAAATTACTAACTGATGTCGCTTGCTTTCAGCCTGAAGAAGTTCCTTTACTATATCTTGTAAGGTGGTCATCTAGCAAAAGTAAGATACCACTTTACACCTGTCAGTATGGCTATAATAAAAAAGATAAACAGTCACAAATGTTGGTGAGGATGTGAAAACATTGGAAGCCTCATACACTGCTGGTTGGCATGTAAAATGGTGCAGTCGTTCTGGAACAGAGTTTTGGCAGTTTCCTCAAAAGTTTCAGTTACCCAACAATTGCCCTTTTATCTAACCCAAGGGGAATGAAATAGATGCCCACACACAAACATTTTATGTTTATGTTCACTTCAACATTGTTTATCATTGCTAAGCACCCCAATGCCTGACTACTGAAAAAAGGATAAACAAAAAGGGCTATATTTATGTAGTGGAATGTCATTTGGCAATGGAAATAAATGAAGTACTGATATATGCCATAACATAGAGGAAATGTGAAAACATTATGCTAAGTGAAAGAAACCAGTTACAAAACCCCCCACATATTACATAATTCCATTTATTTGAAAAGTCCAGAGTAGGCAAATCCATGGATAAAGTATATTAGTGACTCCCAAAGCCTGGGGGGAGATGGGAATAGGGAGAGACTATTAATGAGTAGAGAGTTCCTTTTGGGAATGATCAAAATATCCTAAAGTAGGATAGTGAATTCACAGCTCTGTGAATATACTGAAATCATTGGATTGTGTGTTTTATTTTATTTTTTATATATTTTTATTGACTTTAGAGAGGAAATGAGAGGGAGAGAGAGATAGAAACATCAGTGATGAGAGAGAATCATTGATTGGCTGCCTCCTGCACACTCCCTACTGGAGTTTGAGCCCACAACCCAGGCATGTGCCCTTGACTGGAATCGAACCCAAGACCCTTCAGTCCACAGGCCAACGCTCTATCCACTGAGCCAAACCAGCTAGGGCAGTGGTAGGCAAACTCATTAGTCAACAGAGCCAAATATCAACAGTACAACGATTGAAATTTCTTTTGAGAGCCAAATTTTTTAAACTTAAACTATATAGGTAGGTACATTGTTATTAACTTAATTAGGGTACTCCTAAGCTGGCCTTTGCTAAAAACGTCCTCAATCTGAGGGGTCGACCTCAGTGAAAGTACCCCCACTTCTTTTAATGCCACTTCTTCAAAATAGACTAGCTCAGGCTAAAAACTAACTTCTGTACATGAGCCATGAAGTTTCAATCGCACGTGGTATTTTGTGGAAGAGCCACACTCAAGAGGCCAAAGAGCCGCATGTGGCTTGCGAGCTGTGGTTTGCTGACCACTGAGCTAGGGCAGGATTGTGTATTTTAAATAGGTGAATTTTATGTCATATGATTTACATCTCAGTAAAAATGTTAGAAAAGAACCTTAACCTACATATAAGTTAAAATGTCTGAAGATAAAATGTAATAAATATCTAACTTGGCAGATGTTTGTATTATATTTTCGTCCTATATAATAAAAGCCCTATATACTAAGTGTCCAGTCATCCAATTGGCCATTCAACCAATCAAAGCATGATATCCTAATGATATGCTAAGGCCACTCAACTGCTTGCTGTAATGTGCACTGACCACCAGGGGGTAGACGCTCCAACCGGTAGGTTAGCTTGCTGCTGGGGTCCGGCCGATTGGGACTGAGCAAGATGGGCCAGACACGCCCTGGAGCCCTCCCGTGGTCCCTCTCAGGCTGGCCAATCTCCCACATCCCTCCCTGGCCCCAATCCTGCACCGGTGGGGCTCCTTGGCCTGGCCTGCGCCCTCTCACAATCTAGGACCCCTCGGGGGATGTCGGAGGGCCAGTTTTGGCCCGATGATGGAACAACCAGTTGCTATGACATGCACTGACCACCAGGGAACAGATGCTCAATGAAGGAGCTGCCCCCTGGTGGTCAGTGCACTCCCACAGGGGGAGCGCCGCTCAGACAGAAACCGGGCTCACGACTGGCGAGCACAGCAGTGGTGGCAAGAGCCTCTCCAGCCTCCGCAGCAGCACTAAAGATGCCCAACTGTGAGAGGTTGCAGGCTGGGCTGAGAGACACCAACCCCCCCCCCCCTCGGGCCTCTAGTATGATATAAACCAGTAGAATCAGGAAAGAGCAAAGAGGACAAGACAAAGTCCCGGCTCAAAAGATGCTTAGAGTATTTTTGCTCTTGATCAGCCCTTTAATGAGTCAGTTTCTGGCGTCATCTGGATGAGGGGAATGAATTGTTTATTTTTTTCCAATAAGTCAGGAGATAAGAAACTTAGATTAATCTGGAACAGTTTTCCAACCACATCTACCTAGCAAGCCTCGTGCTTTAATTCAGAGACTAAACTTTCTGAAGTACAATGAGGAGGAAGGAGAATTGACATTTGGGTGGTTGGCATGGACACACAGGAACCATTTGGTAATATGTTTAGTAAGAACGTCTCTGGTGTTGTGCACATGTCTATTGGGGCACATGTCTATGTGTGTATGTTGGTGTGGCTGATTCACCAGCCATGGCAGGCTGGTTAAGGGCTGAATGAACACATGGCACCCTTTGATAGGAAAGGCTCATTGATCATGCTGCATCCCTCCTAACAGTGTCCTTTTCCCTTATTCTTCTCTTATGAGCAGATAGTTGTACTAACTTATCAGATATCCCACACGCTTCCTGGGAACCATATAACTACCGCCTACCAACAAAAGACGAACTGTATGAAGTTGGGACTGTGCTGAGGTACCGCTGTCATCCTGGCTATAAAACCGCCAGAAATAAGCCTAAGATTGTGACTTGTCAGAGAAATTTGGAGTGGACCCCATATGAAGAATGTGAGGGTGAGTTTCTATTTTTAAAATACTTTAGTATGTTAAATGTCCAGCATATTCTAGGATTTTCTGCCTTAAATGAATATAATTGTGTTCCTCAAGTTAAATTCATGATTATATTAATTCAACAGGATGACTGCTATTGCCAGAAGAGACCATCAAGGGCTTGGAGTTTGAGGGGCTCTCCCGATTTGTATTTGCCACATGTGGGTGTGGGACCAGCCCATTTCACATCTCTGCCCTTCCTACCAGTATCGATGTGGCTTCCTCTTTAATTCCCTAGTTGTAGAACTTCCACTCCGCCAGATTGTGGTTGTTGTGAATGATGGTTGTTCTGTTTAGTTGCAATTTTGATGCGGTTGTGGGGGGAGAGGCAAGAACTACGTTTACTTATGCCACCATCTCGACTGAAAGCCAATATAAGCTTTTGAGAACATTCTTCCTTCTGCATTTTGGGAAGTATAAGTTATTAGAAAGCTTAATAATGATGTGACCCTAGTGAAGCCTTAAGGAGATAAATGTTATTTGTCACTGCTCTTGAATAATTTTGAAAATTTACATTTTCATCCAGGTTTCATCCAACTTCTCATTTTGGAGGCCCCTAATGCAATTATTTAATTGGAAGGAAATGACTGGATTGAACCACTTTAGCAAACTAGGGACAGGGAGTGAGGACTCAAGGTGTCTCCGGAACCTTGTCTGTTTCCCCATCCTCTCTTCTGAGGCGAACTCTTCTAAAGGTGGAAATGAGGTTATTAGCCACAGGAGCCTCCTCATGGTGATTTCACTAACCTCACTTTTTATCAGCCTCACTTTTTATTTTTTAGAGGTTTGCTGTCCAGTACCAGAGCTGAAGAATGGCAAAATCACTCCTCGAAAACAACAGAGGAGAGGTTTGGCCAACAAGTGTGAATATTTCTATGGAGACTCGATTTCATATTCATGTCCTGGGAGACGTAACTCTGAAGCTTCATGCCAAGGAGATGGCACCTGGAGTCCTGAAACCCCAACATGTGGAGAGAGTAAGAGCTTATGGAATTATGTTATTTTAGAAGTTTCTTCATATCAAAGTATGGGCGATGATTAAAGGAAGGGTTCAAATTAGGTAAAAAGAATTTCTGTGCTCTGCATGATTCTTAGAATGGATGCATTTGTTTAATAGCACTGTCTGCATTCCAAATTTCTCTTTTCTCCCCAATGGTTGCTCCCATTTTCTTGACCTTCCTGGTTTCCTTTCCTGAATCAGTGAAATTAGGCCACTTCTAATAGATCAGCTAGACTTCTGAACTATTGTGTTCTGTTTCTTGGTATTTATTCTCTTCTCTTTCAGTGTTTCTGGTCCATATTCCTTAACCTGCAGAACAAGACTGCAAATCTATTTGAATTTGTTTCCTTTCTTCTGCTGCCTCTAAGCCCTTCTTCCGCCTGTCTCTCAGTGTGAAATGCCTGCCTCTCCCTCACCAAGAGCACTTAAGTACTAAACACAATCCTCCCGTCTCCCGCTGTGTTTCCATAACCCTATCTGTTGATGACCAGGAATAATCACTGCTACCTGAATAGTGATTCTTTGCCTTTCCTTCTGAAAGAAGGAGACCAAAGGAGCTTCAGAGTGACCAGGTATCAGTCACAGTTGAGAAATCAATGGGAATCTTATCTCCCTTAGTTGAAGTGTTTCCACTTTGCCTACCAGCGATTTTCTATCTGCAGGTCACAGAGTTCAGGGATTAGAAGCCCATTTTCCCCAAAAGTTCACTTAGAGTGAATATAAATGGGGCTACTCATGCTTCCATCTCTTGGTTTCTAGGCTCATGGACTCTATTTTTTTAAAAATTGGGAACCCAGTACCATATAAAGGTTGATATTTGATTTAAAGTGAATACTGTGTTCTTAAAGTTACTGTAAGTAATATTGTAAAGCCCCATTATTGTAAAATACTGTCTCTCAACTGACATTTCAACTAAGCCTTTAACAGCCATGATAAAGGAGATGAATGAACAGCCAGTTGAAGAAATACATGGGGCAAAGTCTGGGAGGGTCCCAAACATGGAGCTTCTGTGCCCATGGAGTTGTGGTTCTTCACCCTCCCGGTAGGTGGATGTGTTCACCCATCTGGAAGCTCTTTGATCTCCCTACTCTTGGAATTTTATGGAGGCTTCCTTATGTAAGCACGATAAAGTATTAATTCAGTTTCCACACTCTCCCCGGAAGAGGGGAAGATTCCAAACTTCTAATCATGGTTTGATCCTTCTGGTGACTAGCGCCTCCCAGGAGTTCACCCAGAGTCACCTCATTAAAATAAAAGATGCCCCTAGTGCTCTTTTCAAAAAGAAAATTGCAAGGGGTTCAGGATCTTAGTCCCAGAAATTGAGGGAAAATATATATATATATGTTTGTATGTATGTATTTTTTTTCCTATTATCACACATCATGCTAGCATCTTCGTGCTCATTCAATAGAATTAATATGATGCCACTGATATACTGGATTAATGTGATATTCTTTATATGTTCAGATGCGCATGTAACTTCAGGCTATTATGAGAGGAGCAGGTGAGTTTTCATAGGACAAGGGAAAAATTGCAAATGTATGATATTGACCCTTTCATGTGTGTGCAGATTGTTTCTGATCTTCTTTTCTGATAGGGTGGGAAAGAAGGCCTTTGCTAAAACAGTGGCCTCATTTCTCTGCAGACACATTAAAGCAAAGTTACCATATCTGGTACAGGGTCTGTAGTAGGGGCTAAAATATTGAGTGTTCAACAGTCTACTTTAATTGTCCAGAATTCTAATTATTGTAGTAAACTGACTGGGGAAATAAATAGAGATTTGATGAGAATGACCACTTCTGCAACTTTAGAGTGGCACTAATTTCTCCCTTACTTTATTTTAAAGTAAATTTATAGAGTGATGGTTAATATGATATATATTTTAAATTGACTTTCCTTGCTTTAAGATGGAGGAGTCTGGGGCAGATCAATAGTTTCTACTAGGCCTTCTTGCATGTGATTGCTGTTACCACACAGGTCAATGACCCAATATGGAGAATGGACCAACTAGGGTGCCATCATGGTTCTTCATCATGAGGGTACGGGAGGGCAGCACAGGTACTTGGGTTTGGCTAAGTGATCCCTTGGGCAGAGAAGATGGCAGGACAGGACAGAGCCTACAGAAAGCACACAGATTCTGGGATGTGTTGTTGTTTATGTCCTCTAAGCTCAAGCTCTCTCACTTTATGTCTTCCCAACAAGGTTGCTATTATCCTCCTGTCATTGACCATGGACGTCCTAAACTAAGTACACACACATTCGCACCTGATGAGGCTAAATATGAATGTGACAGAGGATATATTCTGGTTGGAAATCCCATACTCTACTGCAGTTCTTCACGCTGGTCTGGTCCACCTCCTCAATGCAAAGGTAACTCCAGCCCACGGATAAGTGGGAGAAACTGTCATGCAGGGATTGAGAATAACGTTTCTTTCCAGCCAGAGGCAGAAAAAAAACATATGATTTATTTATTTTAAATAATTACTATATCCAAGTGGTACCCAAAGCAAACAAAAGTACAAGGGGTATATAGAAACATTAATCTCCCCTATTTCTTTCTCCCAGTTACAAAACTCAGCCTCCCGAGGCAGCCCCTGTTCCCACTTTCTTGTATATCTCTGGAAATAGTCTACAGGCGGTACATTTTCTTGTGGCCTGGAGCACAATTTTCATGGAAACTTGCTCTGGCATGAATGTAGGCTCTCAGGGGCTGATTCCAAACACCAGGAAGTGAGCCTCATGCAGTGTAGGGCACCACCTGCCAATGCTGGAGGCCTGTGGTGTGGGATTCGCAGTGTGAAAACTGATGTTGGGGTGGGAGGCATCAAGATCAGGTTTGCTGTTTGCATGCATGCAGGTTTAGTGTTACTTTGCCACCAACAACTCCAGGATTTTTTTGTCACCATTGGTTCTTTTGCTTACAAGAGGACAATGGGCAGGAGAACATTATATCCCCAGTGATTTTTAGGGATCACAATGGGAGGGATTGTTGCTTTGATGGCTGAGTCTGGGGTCCTGTGCCTTTTTTATACCCTGTCATGTAATTTAAAGATGGTATGTCTTCAACAGTTTCTTAACTTCTCTCTCTCTCATTTTTTCTTATTTAAATGGGAATAATAACAGTGCTCACTTTATAGAGAGGAGTGAGACTTCAATGAGATAATCACATCAAATGGTGAGCCCTGAAGAATGATATGAGCCAATGCTCAATTAACATGGGAACTAATATTATTGCTCTCAGTAGAAAAAAAACCATAAGACAATGAGCAGCACCTATATGTAGTTCATTTTAATAATCCTAGCCTGTGATCATGTCTTCTTTTCTTAGACTTACAGATTGCTTAACTGTGCTTTCCTTGTAGCTGTATGTCCGACACCAGAGATAGAACATGGGAATCTGCTTGTGGATAAGGATCAGTTTGTTGAAACTGAAAATGTCACCATCCGGTGTGACTCTGGCTATGCTATGGTTGGTTCCCAAAACATTACCTGCTTGGAGGACAGGACCTGGTACCCAGAGGTGCCCAAGTGTGAGTGGGTAAGTGGCACAATTCAAGGAACTCCCTGTGCCTTCAATCCCTAAAAATGGTGCCTCCCCAAAGCACTGTCACTGTCGCAGCCAGCGAAGGCCAGATCTGACTTGCCAGGACTCATTTCTCAGTCATTCAAAAGGACTGTCTTGTTTTCCCTTGGAGCACACATTAGGATGGCAGGTTTTCCTGCTCTCACTTGAGAACAGGGAACGCCGAGCCCCTTAAGGAGAGGAGGTTCTCAGAGACCTGGGAGTACTCCTCCATTTCCTTTTCCTGATTGTATAACACACTGTGTTCCATGTCTGGATGGGTAGCCGAAGTAGCCTCTGTCCCCACAGAGGCCTCTGGCACACTGTCTCAGGAAGATCTATATTCCTCTGGGAAGACGACAGTGGGGCCCGGGTTCTCCTGGCTGTCCTGCTCTCCCATCAATGCTGGGGGTGGTCTTGGACCTGACCCTCTATCCTGCATTGTCAGGATCTCAGAGACTCCCAACCACCACTCACCACCTGTATCTCTTTTAGGTGGTCCCTGCAGGCTGTGAGCAAGTGATAGCAGGCAGAGAACTCATGCAGTGTCTCCCTAGCGTGGAGGATGTGAAGATGGCCCTGGAGCTGTATAAATTGTCTTTGGAGATTGACATCCTGGAACTGCAGAGGGACAAGGCGAAGAAATCCATTCTGTAGTCACCACTCTGATTTTTCCCGGAAGAGGCATGAAATGGTGCCCTGCTCCCTTCCATTCAATATGGGTCACTTTAGTTAGCAACTCTGCCATTCTTTTGCATTGTAATGAATACCTAAAAATGGTAATTTGCCTTTTTTTTTTTTGCTAGTACTCTGAGATTATAGAATTGTTGGTAATCTTGTGGCTCACATTTTTGCTTTTTTGGACACAAAGTGCACATTTTTCCATTAAAAATTTACTTATACAGTTTTTGTCTTTGTGGTCATTGAGACTCTGTGAAATGAGGTCCATATACAAACCCCAAAATGTATTTACATAATTTACATTAATTGTATTGTATGGGTCTTGCTTATAGACTTGGGTACCCGTCAGTTATATTTCCCCGTATTCCCTTACTGCATGTTCCCCATGCGCAAATCACCAGGTCCTCAGTATTTACATTAAATGTCAACAAGCCCCAAAAGTCTTGTCCACTCTCTCCTATTTGCAGAGATTTGTGCCCTTTCTAAACTCCCAAGTGCTTTGTCTCTGACTTGCTAAGGCTGCCTCTTGACTTTGGTTTTATACGAAGGCATTTATGTTGTGTCTGACCCACTTATTTCATCCTCAGAGATCAAACTCTGAAAGCTCGGTGAATGTGAAGCCCACCAGGAAGCCCCCTGTGTATTCGCAAGTCCTCCATCTGATCTGGTTCTCATTTTCTTTAATAGACAAATAAAAAGCCTTGAGCAACTATCCTACACACAAGGAGACACCCCATGCGAATCGCTTTTATATCTCAAGGTATTTCGGAGGCTCTATTCACTTCCACTCACCACTTCCTCCAACCTTGCCTCCTCTGCAATGAGGTCCATATACAAACCCAACAATGTTTTTACATAAAGTTACTACATTCATTGTTTTGTATGGGTCTTGCATGTGGACTTGGGTTCTCACTCATATCTCAGCTCCACTGGCTCTCTTGTCTTTCCCTAGTACACAGTACCTAATGGTTAACATTGGCCTCTTTTGTTTAATTTTCCCAAACATACTCTGAAGAGGCAATGGTGTAGAGCATGCTTTCAGTAAATGACAGATCTCACAGAGGGGCTTGGACTGTTAGGGAAACCCCCTTACTGGGAGGTATCTATCCATGGTGTTGAATGCCATTACCTGCCCCTGCTATGAGGAATTCCTTTTGCTTCATGTTTATTTTGAGTTTCCCTTGAAGCAAGGATTTGTGGGTACTTACCAGTATTTTCCCTGAGGGGTGGCCTCGGAAAGCACGGAGAGTGGGTGGGTAGTAAGATACAGAAGGGAGGGCCATCTAAAGAGGGAGCATTGCTGAGGGGATTATTATTGCTGTTGCTGACAGGAGCTCAGTTATGCTGAGTGCCCTGTGAATATGTATGGAACCCAAGTATGGTTCGTCCTCTGAATGAAGATAATGAAGACAATGTATAATTAGCCAATAGGTCTTGCTCTCAGGACATCGGACCCACACTGCAGACCAGCTAGGCATGCTCCCGACCACACTGACACTGGTTCCCAATGGCACCTATGGGACTGTGTGAAGTAACCTCCAGGGTAGAGGTATGGACAGACAAAGCAGACCCTGGGGTTGGAAGTGGTCCAGAGTGTGCCAAAGTGAGAGGGCCTTAGTGATTTGACAGGAATTTGACAGTGTCTGCCACACACTTTGACATGCAGTGGTTTTCCTGTCTGTGTACTTGCTTTCCTGTTCTGTCTGCCTTTGGTTTTTGAACTCATGTTCTCCTCTTTCTTCATGTATTTCCTAATAGAAAGTAAAATACTAAGTTCCTGCATATTTGAAAGTGTTTTTATCCAAATACTTGGATAATTTGTTGGCCTTTTAAGATTCTATCCTTAGTATGGCCTTAGTTTAGCTTCCCAGATACCTGAGACAAACTTCCTTTAAATATTGACAAAGAGGCCTTCTGGCTTTCACACTTTGATTTAAGTTGTGATTGATTGCTTTGATCTCTCATTATTTCAACTAAGGGGCACTGAGTCTGTATTAATGGCACTCAGTCACCCAGTTTCACAACCATTATTGCCATTTCCACTGCCCCTCTCAAGTGTCCGAGGTATTGCACAAGCCAATGCACCTCCTTCCATCTACATCCCATGGCACTTACCAGGTGAACATGTTCATAGCTGCAATGCTACAGCAAGCAGGACTATCAATATTCACCCATGACCAGTGATTGCCAGTTGGCTGGTGGGTGATCCAAGTCTAGAATCCCATTCTTAGAGTTTGCCTTTGAGGTCCACTTGTGGTACAAACTGTCTTCAGTCAGTTTCTCCAGAATGGATTTAGATGCATCTAAACTTTTGATAGTGTGTTCATCAGGAAACACACACACACACACATACACACACACACACACCCCAAAACTGCAAGGCAATGAAGTAGCATGGTAGGGGAGAGCTCTAGCGTATAAATTGCCTCACAGAAGGTGGCCAGTGGCTACAGAGTTTGGACAGGTTCAAACCTGGGACTAATGAGAGGGCAGGATCCTCTCGTGGTAAAGCCACGTGCAAGGACCAGCACAATTATAGCCAAAGGCTATAGTTGTAAGCTTGACCTTGTAGTCCGAACCTGTGGTCCCCCGGGGCTAAGTGATATAGGCTGTGGGAGGTGCAGCAAGTAAACAAAGCTTGATCAGGTGCATGTAATTGATTAGATTCGAAACCCAGGAGACTGTTGTAACCCCGCCCTTACTTTGCCTCCTGGAATCTGGCCATCAAATATTCGCTTGCAGGCTGTGATGCTCTCTCTTCATCAGAGAGGGCAGCGTCCCACCCAGACCCAGCTTTCTTCTCTTGTCTGTCTTTTCTTTATCCTTCACCGCCCCCTCTCAGGGTCACCCATGGCCATGTCGGCTCAGAACACAGAATTGTCCAGACTTGAGGCAAGGAATCAGGGCTTTTGTGTCCCAATATTAGTTGGGCATTGGTTGCTCCTGTGGGCTGGGGTATAACTTCCAAAGTATTAGGATGAGGAGGCTCCTGCCATTTCAGCACATTCTCTGGAGAAGGTCACAAATCTATGCCATTAACGACACCACCAATAGCTTCTGTTGGTGGACATTCCATCGGGGAAGGCCCCACAGTGTTGATTTACTCCCAAATGGCTGATTCATTATCTTTACAGGAAGCCAATATTACCCCAAAAGTGGAAATTATTTTCGTTTAAAGAAAAAGCCTGTATTATCAAATCAGTCTTGGGCTCAGAATTTGACCTACCTGGTAGCTACTAACTAAGAGGTTTGAGGGCAGGTTACTTTTTCTATCTAAACTGGTTTCCTCATTTATGCAATGAGGAAGGTAAAAACTATGTCCTAGGGTTTTTTGAAGATTAATTATGCTAATTCATATAAAGTTCTGGTACCCTACTCACTGAAAGATTAAAAGCAGCTTCTGGTTAATCCTTTAAATCACTTCTCTTTATTGTGATTCCTCTTTCTAAAGGAAGTAGCCATTTGGTGGCTTTGTTTTCCTTGATCTCTAGGAAGTTGACATTTATTTGTGCTTTCCTCAGCATTCCAAAGAGTTTCCCTCAGTGATATTTGGTAATTTTTCTCATTTATTTTTGAGTGAGAAGCATTTTGGTTCCTATGGGTACGTGGTAGTCATTCCAGTTCAGCTGAGTAGTGAAGGTCCCTTTAGGACAATTTCCGGAGCTTACTCTTTTGTTTGAGGCAACAATCTAAGCACAGATATCCACAGCTGGTGGGCAAGATACGGAATCCAGGTTGGTAGTCTCATCTGTCCCAGTTAAGGAGACAATTTAGGCAATAATCTGGATGAACAGTCAGGCAGTCTTCTATGGTTAAGAGACACTTAGTCTTGGGGTTACCGATTCACGAAGCAGAACAAATGCGTCTTCCATTCACTTGTCTCTTACTGCTCAGAGACAAAGC